CACACACACACACACACACACACACACACACACACACACACACACACACACACACACACCAACTTTTAAAATGAGTTGCTCCCTATAGTACCACCTTTTCATTCAACCCACAATTACTTACCCAAGGCAAGTAGAAACTTCAAAAGTACCTCTAAATTTCCCTAAATTCAAATAGTACAAAGACAGCTATAAGAAAAGTAACTGTACATCTTGATTTGTCCAGGACAGTACAGTTTTGTGCCTGTCCCAGGGACCCATCTGGTTTGGCATTTGTCCTGGACAAAGTGGCCATGGTCACCCTAGCTATTCCCAAGGGCCTACTCCCTAGTCTCACCTCTGACTTCCCAGGGCCTTCTGGGGAAGAGTGTGGGTGCAGCATCAGCTCCGTTCCCACTGGGCCAAGGACGGGGGGTACTGCTGCAGGTGGGCAGCCTGCTCCATTCCCAAATACCCCAGGGAGGGAGGCAGGGCAAGGGCAGCCCTCGGAGGAGCTCATCTCCTCCTCAGGCTGGCCAGCTCCTACTCACTGCCTGGGAGAACTTCCACTAGAAACCCATCTGAGTCAGGGTCTCTTTTTTGTTCTTTGGATAAAGGTGCTGAGGGAAAAGGAGAAGATGTTGATAATAAAAATATTGACCTCACGGGGTTTACTTCTAGGAGGCCTCCAGACATGCTCGTTCCTGACAGCATGTGGCTTCCCAACGCTGTGGGTACCCTCCAGCTGGGCACCTGGGCCAGACTAGGCCCTGCACAAAGGCCCCGTGATGTGTACGATTTCGAGAAGAGGCTGCCTTGCTCAGCATGGGGAGATCTTTGGGGAATGCGGAGAACCTAAAGATTGATCCGCCTTGGTGGTGGGGAGGCAAATTCTACTGCTGCAGCAAGATTCCAGCTGAGTTCTGGAGGCGGATTCCCAGCAGTGGGAACTCACCCCAGGGGAGTCGGGTCCTTCCCACAAGAGCTGGCTAAGCGGGGAGGGTGGGGGGATAGGATGGGAGAGGGCACAAGTCATGGGTGTTCTGAGGCCCTGAGAGCTGCCACCTTGCCCCAGGCCACAGAGCATCCACATCATCTGTCTCCAGAGCCATGCTCTTCTTCCTAGGGTGGGAGAGACACCCCAGTCCCTGGGGCCTGCTCTGGAGGGGGTGGCAGGGTTAGAGGAGTGGAGAGAATAGGCCTAAGACAGTCACATTTCCAAAAGCCCAGGTGTCCGTGAGCGAGATCTGTGCCTAGGGCGTCTCCTGAGATCCCTGCCCGTTCCCAAGTGCCATGAAAAAGACGTCCACAAAAGACAATCTAGTCACCAATAGTGACTCCTAGCACCCAGGACACAGCCAGGCCTGGAGCTTAGCATGGCCTCCTAGGGGTTTTTGCAGAAAGGTGCCTGGTCTTTCAGGTGCCTTTAGGAACACGGGGCCCTTGGGACCCAGAACCAGCACAGAGCTTAGGGCCAGCCACTCTGGGCAACCCGGGCTAGATGGCACTGTATCCAGACCACTCCCAGGGTCACCTCCTTTTTCCCTTTCCCCACCACACCTTCCTCCCTGCCCCTACTGAGGGGTTCCAGAAGTGAAGGGGGATAAGGCAGCCATAGTGTTCCCGGTGCCAGTCCCAGGAGACCCTTGTGAGGGGTGGCTAAGGGCCCTGGAGCCTGGAAGACTGGCTGGCCCTGCCATTCACAATCCCTGTGTCTTAGGGTGAGTGTCCACCTCTCTGAGCCTTGACTCCTCATCTATAGAGCGGGGACAATCACCTCTACCTCAGAGGACTGCTCTAAGGGTCACACATGGTCATTTACACAAGCACCAGAGGGTCCACAGAGGTAGGGGCATTAAATCCTGACCAGCCTCATGGGGAGCTGTATACTACAGGGGCTGAGCTGTCCCTACAGCCCATGGGGTCCCCAGTGGTCAGCCAGCAAGGTCCTCAACAGACAGGAGGGATGCCCTCCTCAGAGAGGCTGGGCCTGGGGAAATGCCTGGGGAATTAGCTGGGGCCA